GCGCTATGCAACACAATTGCCTAACGCCTCGGCCACAAATGCCGCAAGCGCCGCAAGAGCCGAACCTACAGCGAGGCTCCATTGTCTGCGGCGACTTCAGCGTACAAAGCCTACAAACTTACTGCGCCTGACAAGCAAATTAAGCGCACAAAAGCAGAAAATAAAGCAACTCAAGTTGCGAACGTGTGTGTGTCCGTTTGTGTGTGTGCGTGTGGCAAAAAGAAACTGCAAAGCAAATCGTAAAAAATAGTCGTAGTTTCCTTGTTGCAGCTGCAACTGTAGAGGATGTGTGTGTGTGTGTGTTGGTTAAAGTGCAGCAGTTAAGCACTTTTGTCTCAATGAGTGTCAACAAGCGGCCCCAAGAATCTGGCGGCACACCACACACTCACACTCACTTATACACACACACACACACACACACACGCAAACAAGTCAAGTGTGACAGCTTGTGTGGAAAATAGAGAAAAATAATCGCCCTATTAATGAGCCTTAGGCCAAGTGCAACAAGCTGACAGACAACATGACCTGACCCAACATAACCCAGCTCCAGATACTATGCCCGCTTCGGCTATTTAGTTCATGTTCGTGTGCAATCACCCGAGGCGTGTTCTCTCTACGTGTGTGTGTGTGCGTGTCTGAGTTTGTGGATATACCCTGACAGAGGGTAGTAAACTTTTGTTATGCAACGTGTAACGCATGAAAGCAGACGGTCTGACCCCATGGAGTATGCACATTAGTCTCAAGGCATGCCTGCCTTCCCCTACGGATCGGACTACTAAATCATACATCGGTCGAAGACGCAGTTTTTGTATGAAAAACTAATTATCTAACAAGCTGTCTTGAAGAAACTTTTCTCCCAACACAAACCGTATCAAATCGGGCTGCTATATCACAAGTCGCTTACGGGAAATATTCTTCGGAAATAAATCTCTTATATCAATTCTATATCGTAAGCCTTAAAGTTTATTTAAACTTCGGCCTATGATTCATGCATGCTTGTGCGCTGTGCGCCAAGATATGCACATTGGTTTTTCTATTTTTCTTAAAAGAGATCTGCTGGTTTAAGGCTTAAATTGCTGCAAGCTTGATGCTGTTTATTATTTTTTAAGTTTGAAAACATCTTGAATTTGCATTTACATATATTTGCTAGTTGAGCCTAATTGGATTTCATATTTGGCCCCATTCCATTGAAGATTGTATTGCGAGGCACAAAAGTTGCCATGCAAACGGAGCACCAAAAAAAATGCGCAATAGAAAAAAAAGAATATGCCAAATAGGCACTCGTCATTGTGCTCAGCACAGACAGAGCACGAGCAATGGAAGCCACGTGAGTAAATATACATAATACAAGGATAACAACAAAAACAACAACAACAACAACAACAACAAAAAACTTACTTCAAATGAACATTTCGCTGATGTCCGCGTCAACGGTGCGTATACATTTCAAGTTTCGCATTTCAACAGACCTGCCGAGTGAGGCGCAGGTCGCAACAACTTTAATTGGTGGCACATGAAAGAGAAAAATCTCTTTTTTTAGACGGCTCCATGCCAAGCGGAGTGCTGCTTTAAGCAAGCGTCAGAGGTCAAAGGTTTTTGGGGTTTTTGGCAGTGAGCTGTTGTTTCTTTGGCAGTTGGTTTATTTATTATTCGGTTGCACTAATGGCAAACGGAGCAATTGCGCTTGCCACATGCCATATTCCACGACTTTACAGTTTCCCTCAATTTGTATTAATATAATTTAAAAATTTCTGTGCTCATTTTTTCAGCTGCTGCTTTTAGTGTACATTGGAGAGTCGTAAAAGTTGGATGCTTTGCTTTGGCTGGCACTCTTAATTTTTATTTGCCATTTCGAGGGTTGCACACTGACCCTGCCACACACACACACACACACACACCCGCACACACACCCACAAACACACCCAGACACAGCTTGGCCAGTGCTTTGCCGAGTTTGAAGCGTTTTCTTTTTCTTACGTTTTTGAAGTTCACATAAAATTGAAAAGTAGCGAAAGTTTTGAGGGTTAGTTGTTCCGCTTCGAGGAACGGGGCCACTTGCGGTTTCTTTTTACGAATATTTCCACCAGAACATTTTGAAGAGTGTGCACGTTATATGTGTATGTACAAAAAGGAAAAACCATAACAACAACTTTCCTTATGTACGCACAACATTTTTTCTTTAAGCCTAGTTGCTGCTGCAAACTTTGTGCCTGGTAATTATGCGCCGCCGCATGCACAAAAGTTTCCTTCTTCTTTGGGGTGCAAACAACCATGCAAATTATGATGATGACGACGACGACGATGATGATGATGCTACTGATGTCGGATGGTGCGAGAGCTTACGTCAACTTTTACGTCTATGCCGGCTAGCTGCAACTTTGATCAGCGACTCGCCATTTCTGTTCTGTCATTCTATTTCTTCAGTTTTCCAAGAAAATTATCTACATATTGAACATACAACCTTTCTAAAGATTTGTATCTGTCTTCCTCTCTCTCTCTGTGTGTGTCTGTGTGTGTGTTACACAATTTCTTGAGTTAATTAAAAAGTTTGCGTTTCTTTGATTTCTGCTCGTATTCGGTACAAAGTTAATTTTCCAATTAAAGTCGGTTAATTGCAGTGCGCTAGGCAACCAGATAAAGCTATGCAGATATGCCAACATGCATTTGAAATGTGTATGTGTGTGTGCTGGTGTGTGTCTGTGTGTGTTGGTGTGCTGCCATGGCTTGTGCAACGTTGCAGTGCCTACGCACAGGCGCAGCAGCAACAATTAAAAATAATGGAAAAACATTGCGGCACCAGCCACAACAAAAACAACACAGCCAACTGGCAACATTACAAGCAAACGCTGGCATTATGTAAAGCAATTAAAATGTAACAGCAGCAGCAGCAGCAGCAAAAAAACTCATAGTATAACTTGAGCTGCACACACACTCGCACACTCGCACACTCGCACACTCACACACAACAAACAAACCACTGACTTTTAATGGCATGCAAAATGTGTGCCAACCCGCAAGAGTCAGCTGAGAGCAGGACAGATGCAAGGACAGAGCGAGCGTGAGGGCGAGTCTCGCATTAAGCGATGCCCGCCGCTAAAAGTATGCTAGAGAAAGGGCAGCTGCTTGCGGCATGTTGCTGCAACTTGAAGCTAACCCATGATTAAATAAATTGTTGAAAAATGTTCAACAAGCCAGCACACGGCCATTGCCGCTGCCCTGCTACAACGTTCGTTCCGCTGACCTGGTAAAAATCTATAAAATGCTGCACGGCTGTAGAATGGCGCCTGCTGTTAGGCAACATATTGCAGTCAAGGCCTCGCTGCGTGCATTTTTTAAATGCTCGCCGCTTCCTTTTCGTGTTGTTGCTCGTTGTTGCCGCAGCGCGGCATGTGGCACAAACGGAAGCCTCTGTTTGGCTCACATAAATAATAACAATAGTGGGACGTGGGGCATGGCAAATGCAGAATGTGGGCGTGCTTGCAGCTGATGTGTGTGCCTGTGCGTCTGTGTGTGTGTGTGTGTGTGTGTGTGTGTGGGCGTGGCTAGGCAGCAACACGTGTAACAATCTTGTTACTGCAACCCCTTGTGCCCGTTCACCATCTAATGCTGCTGCTCTCCTTGTTGTCCTTTATTGAAACTATTTACGCTGTGTTTACAACTCTGTATGCGTGTGCGTGTGTGTGTGTGTGTGTGTGCAACTCTATCTATTGTGTTACACACATACACATGTATTTGTGCACCTTTCTGGGTTTGTGTACCTGGGTGTTTTTCATCTTGTTTCGTCTTGTTTAAAAATTGCCAACTATTCTGGTTGCCAGCCAGTTCGGCTGCTTACTTTAGCTTATTGACTTGCAGGCTTTAAAATGAAAGTGAGCAGGCCAACAAATGCGGCAAAGTTTGTTTGCTCGACTTGCAGTTAATTAAATGTAAAAATATTTACTTTCAGTTTGTAATAATAATAAATAAAAGTTTGGCAGGCACTTTAATCAGCAAATAAATTGTTTAAAGTAAACTCCTGTAAATTATCCCAAGGTGAGGTTTTCAACATTGTACTCAATAAATATACGAATAAATATAAATAAATATTTCTCTCAAAGGTTTTAGTTGTATAACTCAATCAGCTTTTCGATTCGACCATTTGTAGACGTCTTTTAATAATAATAACGGAATCGAATTTCATCTTGGAATGTTTACTAAAGAAAATATTTTTATTGATAATTGATAAAAACGTGCAAACAGCCTTAATAACGAAATATCAAAGGCATGCTTGGAAGTCTTGGAGACTTAATTCAAATTTTTGTTTTTATAACTGCAATTATTTACAACGAGAAAAGCAGATAATAAGCTAAGAGGAAAGCAAAGAGATGAAAAATGAGTTGCCTATGTTCCTACACCAAGTCCTTGTATTTAAAGGAAAGATTTGAATCGATTTGTAAGAACTGTTTATTTAGTAAGAAAGCATTCAGGCTATTCACGATTTTTTTTTTAAAACTATGAAAAAATATTAACTTGTTTCAATTTTTAATATTTCTAACTTTTTATTTGCAAATACGACTTGTTTGCAATCGTAGCAAGTTTTTCCTAAATATTTTCTCAGAACTTTTTAGAGCAAATTTGTGATCTAGGTTCATGTAGACAGACTTGTGCTAGGTCTTGACTCTTTCAGCGTTGAAGCTTTATAAAATTTACTGAAAAATACTTTACTCTGATTAACTTAAGCATGCGTAAAGCCAATGTTTGATAACAGTTTTTGTTTAGTATTTAATAATCAGTGCTTTAATTACAATAGTAATCGTAATCAGAGAACAGCAGCTGTGTCTGTTTGTTTATGTTGGGAAGTCGTTTCTCTCGATAAGAAGCTAAACTTGTTTGGCGATCGGAGCATTCGCGCTCAGCACACATCGACCGAGAGCGCAATGGCAACAATACAAGAGCTTTTAACAAAGCGTTCGTCTGCTAGAGCGAACACAGAAAAGCTCTTTTGCCTCAGTGGCCAGTCGGCAGTTTGGGCTGAATGACGGAAGCGGGTTGTTCGCATTTTTGCGCCGGGTTCTTTGGAAAAGTTGTATGTTAGGCAGAAAATTAAGTGCTAAACGATTGACGATAACATAATCTATAACAAGATAATACGGAAGAACCTTTGGAAGTTCCGAAACAGGAAGACCAATAAACAAATGCTCTTTACTCTTTGAAAGCAGCCAAACAAATAGCAGCAGACGGGCAAAGTTCAGAGCGCCATATGGGAACTTTGTCACTGAGCGACGTGAGTAAGCACAATTGAAAGCTTTGGCCGGCTCGCAGAGCAACTGGCATTGATTATACACTGTTCAACATGAAACTGTTTTCACTTTTCGATTTGACAGTACGAGGATGTGCGCATCTGGGCGCCCTGGGGTCACATTGCGGGTCGCTGGTACGGCAATCGATCGGAACGTCCTATTCTGGCCATACACGGCTGGTTGGACAATCTGGGCACCTTTGATACACTAATACCCTTGCTGCCCGACTATCTGGGCGTGCTCTGCATTGATCTGCCTGGACATGGTTGCTCCGCACGGCTGCCAGCGGGCATGCACTACAGCACAGCCGAGTTTATACTTATTATCGCACGGGTCATGAAGGAGTACAAGTGGCCAAAGGTCTCGCTGATGGGCCACTCGCTCGGCGGTGTTTTGAGCTTTATTTACACTGCACTCGCACCACACACTGTCGATCTGGTAATCTCATTGGACATTCTTGTACCTCCCTTAGAGTCACCTGAGAGCTTGAAGCTCTTAGGTTATGCTTTGGATAAGCACTTGGTGGAGGATGAGCGTGCTGAAGAGGCTTTAATGCGTGAGCCACCTTCCTACACGTTAGCCCAGCTGCGCAGTGTCCTGAGCAAGGGGAGCAACCACTCGGTGCCACCAGAATTTGCCCAGTATTTGCTGCACCGAAGCGTCACCAAGTCGCAGCTGTATCCGGAGAAGTTCTACTTTTCGAGGGATGGCCGCACCAAGTACTACAATATATTGCCGCTCAATTCCGCTCTCGCTGCTGAAATGGCGAGACGCATCAGAAATAAGCCCTATCTCATCATAAAAGGATCGAAGTCCCCCTTCATTAGCGCCAGGTCCAACGAGGCCATCAACATTTTAAGAAACCAAAATCCACACTTTGAGTATTACGAAGTACCCGGCACGCATCATGTCCATCTAATCAGTCCCGAACTATGTGCCCAGTATATAGTTCCCTTTCTGAGACATCATCGCCCGCCCACAGTGTCCAGCTGGTCGTTAGCTGGGGAGGAGCAGAAGCTAAGCACACGGGAGCATCGGAAGGCACAGGAGAACTTCTTTGCGAGGAATCTAAAGCGTCTTAGTAAGCTTTAAAGCCAAAAGTTGACAAAGCTGACCGAAGCTACCTTTTGGATTGAAAGTGGGAACTAAGAGAAGGTGCTTATATTTCGACCTAAAAGGGAAACGGTTGGTCAATGCTTACATAAAAGAACTTAAAAAACATAGCCATTTAAGTGAGATTTTCAAGCGTGACAAGAGGAGCCTGCGAAGTTTGGGGCTTCGGACTAATAATCGAGAGGTCGCTGGTTTAAAATTCGAATTGTCAACTATTGTAGTTGTTTATTTAATTTGTTATTATTGTCACACAGCAAAATGCAATAATAAATTAAAAAACAACAAAGATATGAAATATAACAATAATAAACAAAATGTATATTTTTTGTTTATTTTGTCCACTGTCATATGCCAGACACAATTCAGTGCGCTTTTCTAACGTAGTTTTTGTAAATTAAAAAAGAATATTTGTCTTGTGTACAATAGAGGCGATGCGAGATGCATGGTTTCGACCTGAAGTTGGGCATGGCTAGTTCATCCTGTACAATATATGAGATTGTGTGTGTGCTAACTGACTGCATCACTGACACAGCTCATCCTTTTCAGGAACTCTACCCTCAATAGCACTCTAAATGATGAACGAATTTAAGCCGAAAAATTTCAGAGAAATTCTAATAAAAATAACAAAAGATTAGTTAAGCCGGAATCGGTATAGGAACTGCCTATGTATAATGTCTATTTGTGGCTTTTTAAACTTCTAACAACTTACGCAAACCTTGTATTGAGACATCATAGTTGATTTCATCTGGACGCTTACCTGTAAAAAAGAAAAGAATTAGTTGTAGCATTCAGTTGACAATTAAGTAAGTATATTTAAGAGACTTAATTTAAATACTAAATCGCAGCGCTTTTTAATATCTCATATTTACATTTTTTATTTCTTTAATTTCATTATTCAATATGTGTTTTTGGCTGAAGCTTTTGCAATAATTTAATTTGCTGCATTTTGTGGCTAACCACATTGAATTTTGTTTGTTGTTGTAGCGCTTGCTGTTGCGACTGTATTCTTTTTATTTTTTATTTAATTTAATTTATTTTTTTTTTTATATTACATATTATGTACATTTATTTTGCAACCACGTTAGGGGTTTTGTTGCCGCTTTGTCCGTGTCAGTCGCAGCAATTACCGCCTCAGATTTACTTTTACAATTTCACATATTATTATGCTACGTTTTTTTGCGGCCTGCATTTATTTAGTGAGAAATGTTTTTGCCATAAATATGAAAATTGTTGAAATGAATGTTGTCATATTAGAAAACAGACTGATGCGTATTTAAATTGTTGAACTTTCGCCTCTGCAACAATGCAAGCCGATTCTTTGTGTCTGAGCAGCAACAAGAAGAGGCGTCAATACAATAATAGTTGAAAAATTAATTTAAATGTCTCGCTAATGAATGTTTACAGCGTTCATAATTTGTATGCATATGAAAAATAAATAGGCCCGCTCTGTGGACCATTGTCATGCTAATCATGGAAAATGAAAATGGAAATCAAAAATCTTGCATAATTGACACAGAAAAAAAGCCGCAGTAACCCGAACCCGATCCCGAACCCGACGCCCCTCCCAACCACAGATACGAATGCGATACGAGATTCAATTTTCGATGCGCCGTCTGTCATCTGCATATTAACGGCATAAAATGTCAACTGTCATGTCGCCCGACACTTGCCGCGCCACTTTTTTCACTAATGTCCACATATATGTTATATATGCATACTATATCTATCTATATGTGCTCATAACACTATCATTGTCTGTTCACTCTTATCGGAGCGCCGTTTGCGTGAAACTGTGAAATGATTGGGAACTGATATGCAAATTCGTGATGCCAGCCATGGTTAGTAATTGAGAGAAATTTGTGCTGCTGACTGAAATTGACTTTTGATTAATAGGCGACAATTTAAAATGCATTTGGTGTGGAACGCACACAGCGGGGCTTACACGTTGCGTAAGCCACGCCTAATCAGCCAAGGTTCGGCTCACCAGCCCAGGCAACTGTTGCACTCATCAAGCCTCGTTAGCTGCACACAGATACAAAGAAAAAGGAAAGGGGGAACAAAAAGTTTTGGCAGCCGCACATTTGGAACATTTCTGCGTAGGCAGCTTCAGTTTGTGGCGCTGTCCAGTTACCAATTCCAATGCCATGGCCCGAAACCCAAGACCGAAGCCCCAGCCACGACGAGCGACAAGCGGACAATCAGTTGTTCTTGTTACTGCTTGTTGCTGTTGCAGCTGATGTTGCAGTTGATGTTGCTGGCCGTTGCCGCGTACAGTAGCCACAAGCACATGTCCAAAACTTGCAACTTGCAACTGGCAAGAGGCTGAAGACGACTGGGAACTGGGCGAGGTCGCAGCCTGGTCTGAGCATGGACAAAAGTTAATGACTTTAGTCTTAGCGGCGGCGGCGGCAGCAACAATGTGAGGCACATTTCCTTTTTTGTGCTTATGCAATGATAATAAAACGCAGCCTGTGTGCGGCAAGCCGAGAGTGCATAAGAGACATCAATAGAGCGGCAGACAGAGAGAGAGAGAGAATGAGTATAAATGAAATAAATTACTGCGCAGGCGCAGCGACCACGTCGATGTCGGCAGCAGCGGCTGCATTCAAACAATGAGCATGTGGCCCGAGCTCTGAGCAATTTGAATGGACGTGTTCCTTGGGCTCTGTGTGTCTGTCGATGTCTGGCTGTTCTGCGCCGGTGCGGTGTGTGGGTTCCATGCGGTCTTCATTTGAATGCGCAACATGTTGTGGCATGCAACGACCTGTGCCAGTGGCAGTGGCCAATGCCTGTACATGGACCTGGTCAGATCCGCCTCCATGCAGACGCGCATCAGCTACTCCTACGGCTTCATTTGCCATTATCTTCCAGTTGGTTAGTTAGTGCGCTTTAATTTATCGCTGCAAGCATGCGAGCAAGCATCCTCTGGATATGCACAGAAGATATAGTTCGGCTCTGCTCATAGTACACCTACTACTACAACTACAACTGCCGACAATGCCACACGAGGCAAGTCAATTGTCCATTTCATTCCTTTGCCGTGCATCAGTTCACGTATCGCTCTCATAAATTTCTGCTATTGTTGTTATTGTTCTTGTCTTCTTTCGGAATGGATGCAAATATGAAACAGCCGCCTCAATCCCAAGCTCAACTCTTTTTCTCTTGGCTTCCTGCTTTGCTGTCCGGCTACTTATTTGCTTATTGAGTTTATTATTGTTGTCGTTATCTGAGTTGTTGTCGTTGATGTTGTTGTTGTCGTTGTTGTTGTCGTTATTATTGTTGTTGATGTGTTGTTGTTGATTGTGGTCATTGCTGCTGGTTATCATTATGTTTATTATTGTACTGGCCCAGCTACCTCCGCACGCTGCCACCAAGATAGTCAGATGCATTAATATGCGCATCATTCTGCGCTAATATTAAATTAGTCCATTGTACGTAAGGAGGCGACGGAAGCAATGCCTCGTGCCCACTTTGGCTTTGGCTCTGACTCTGGCATGGGATTATTGTGCAGCTACAATTGATGTTTAAAGCATGTTTATCAGTTTCGTGTGCTTAATGAATGAGAAGTAATATAGAGATAGAGATAAAGGATAAAGCACTGACTTAGAGTCAGGAAGCTGAATACACACTAAGATTGGGTAAGGCAGGCGGGCGAAAACGATGAATATGAATATGAATATGAATGTGGGCTTCGAACTGCACAACTAGAGGTCGCCAGCTCAGGGAAAGAACAATTTTTGGATAACAGCCGCCAACTTAATATAAGAAACATATTGCAAGAGCTTTGGAAGTTTTTAAGTCCAGTTACCATGCACCAGTTTCAGTTCCTTCCTGTTGAGCACATTGCTTGCATTTCCTGTCCATGTTTCTTTATCAATTCGACGGCTCATTTATACTAACAACAGCGACTCGGCGCAAGCTTCAAGCTAATGTCCGGCGAATGCCAGTCCGACATGTACAAATGTATGCCAGCTTTATCGACATGAACTCGAGCAGCCTGTATAGTCCTGTTCGGGCAGGACTTGACTAAGCAGTTCATCAAGCGGGCTGGCCTTCATCAGTGGCAGCGAACACGCCCATACTGGATGTGGATGTCCATTGTTGCTGCCTGTTTACCATTTACCACTCTCAAGCTTTTCCACTTCCGGGCAATATACTAAAGCGTTTCCATGCGTAGGTAGTCGTGGATTTGTGCAATACACTTGGAGCCGGCTCGAGTTCATAATCTTGCCACTCAAATCGCTAAGCAGCTTGGCAGGAGCAGCTGGAGCGGCTTCCCTTCTTTAGAGCTGCACTTAATTTACCCTTAATTAATTGACCTGCAGTCTAGTTGAGTCCACACTCTTTCTGTCCACCAGCTGGAACTACACTCCCCAGGCCCTGGCTCTGCTCTACTTAGCTGCGGCGTTTGCCATTTTTGCAAATGTTTTGTGTGCATGCAAATGGTTCGTTCACTTGCTCATTCACTCATTCAGTCAGTTAGTCAGTCAGTCAGGCAGGCAGGCAGGCAGGCAGCCAGCCAGTCCGTGGTCAGTTTCATTCATTTCCATGGCTCGCTCAAGTGGCGCTGTGGCCACTCGAGTGGCCTGCCCACTTGAGAGAGCCAAGCCCGTACTGGCATGGCCCGACCTGAATTGCCCCAAGCTCATTTAATTTAAATTTGAATTTGAATTTTATATTCATTTATTCGTGTGCAGTCAGGGCGCTGTCAGATCGAATACCCTGCAAAGAATGCCCAACTTAACAAAAGTTTCATGCCCAATAACTATTTGTTCGTCAACTGGATTTTGATGTGCTCTGCAGCTTTATAGGGCAACTGACCGTCGTATTTGTTTGTGGCTCTCGAAATGCAATTAAAACTTAATAAGCTGCAAGCTTTACGGCAAACTGTCCATCCACCCCCTCCCATCAAACCGACTAGTTAACTATTTCGATTCGTTGTTTATCGGTTGTATTTGCCACTCAATTAATTATTTTACTGCATTCGCACAAGTTTTAAAGCCTGCGGTCAGTTTGAGTAATGTTTAATTAACAGACGAGTCGAATCGAGTCGAGTCGAGTGGAGTCGAGTGTGTGTTGGAAATTGTACAAAATTGGGTCATTCACTGGCCAGCAAAGGGTTTTGCGTAGCTCGAGTGCTCCAGATCTGCTCATATTATGGTAACTAATTAAGGCAAGGCTATGCTAAAAACTAGCTTCAATTAACCCCCTTTCCGCTCAGCCACGCACACACACACAAACACACACATATACACACTCAGGCACAGTCATCTGTGCTTT